ATGCAATCAATTCTAACTCATAGCGACCCAGACCCACTCTCATGTAGTGAATTCTCATAGCGACCCTGCCCCCTGTCATGCAGTCAATTCTAACTCCTACTGACCCACACCCACATCCACGCGGTCATTTCTGATCATAGTTACCCAGACCCACTGCCAAGCAGTCAATTCTAATTCATAGTGACCCAGACCCACTGCTATGCGGTCAACTATAACTCATAGTAACCCAGACCCCCCGCCATGCAGTCAATTTTAACTCATAGTGACCCACACCCACTGCCATGCAATGAATTCTATCTCATAGCTACCCTCCTACGCAGGGCAGAACTGCTCCTGTAATTTTCCAGGACTAAAACTCTTTCAGGGAGTTGAAAGCTTTATTATTCTCTCATGAAGCAGCAGGTGGTTTCGAACTGCTTACCTTGCACCTATCAGCCCAACAGGTAAGCACTACACTACCAGTGCTCCATCAACAAGGGATTAGACATCAAAAAGATAATAAAAGATTATTACTAACCAGCTTAGTATGAATAAATTTAACAACCAAAATAAAATCGCTAAATTCCTAATAAAACAAAACAGCCACAAACATGTAAATAAGTTTACATGTACTCATATAACATTTCATTGCTTTCATGCAGGTCCTGTAATTAGACCAAGAGAAGTTCTAAAGGAAGAAGGGACTTCTGCATTGTTTAAAATCAGGAATGGTGTGTATCATGATTATATCCTTTAACTATATTGATTCACTCTGTTTGCTGAGCAAATAATCCAAGAAACTATACTATAGGAAGAAGAATACAGTATTACAATTGCAGGAAGGCTTATTAAGAAGCCATGATATGATTGCAGATGAAATAACTTTGCAATGTGTAAGTAAAGAAAACTTGAAGCACTTGTTGGAGATCAAAGACTATCTAGTTGTGTTAGTCTGGGTAAATTAGGGAAACAAATCCATAGAAACTGGGATGTCTAAGAGAGAGTTTTATGTAAAGGGTAAGTGTACATTAAGAAAGCATCCCAACCAAGTGCTGTCCAAGCCCCTAAGTCTAACATTAGCCCATATGTCCAACACCAATCTACAAAGTCCTCCTCCATCTCACAAAACACACGCAATGATGCCAACTGCAGGAGAAAAGCCGAGTCAGTGAACCTGTAAGCATCTCAGCGCTGGCAGGGGTCTCCACATGGCTGCTCCAGCACCCAGGGTGGCATCGGGTGGCTTCTCCTCAGGGATGTCTTGCAAGAAGCAGACAGCTGAAGCAGGGAACTAGCTCAGGAAGCTGCACCCTGTTCTGACCATCACAAAGCAAGAGACCCGAGAACTAGAAAGCTGGGGCTCTTTTTGCCCTTCAATTAATTTCACAAGTATTTATCAGCCAGGTTGGCAAAATAAACCTTAACTATCTCAATAGTCTTCAGAATAGATTGCAACTCAATGTAAAGAAAACAAAATTCCTCACGATTGAAGCAATATGCAACATCATGATAACTGAAGATAAAAATGAATGTTGTTAAGGTTTTAATTTAAATTGGGTCTGCAATAAACATCCGAGGTACATCACTCAGGAAAGCAAGCAGTGCATTTGCTTGGGCTTTTGTAAAGCATCTCTTTAAAGCATTAATAAGTATATCGGTCCCTTTGAAAACTAAGCTGCATTTGAACCAACAGTATTTTCAATAGCCTCACAGAAATGCAAAAGCTAGACAATGAAGGAAGACCAAATAAAAACAGATGCCTTTATTCTTGGCAAGGTATATTAAATATAACATAGACCATCAGAAGAAAGAATAAATCTGTTTGAAGAAATTCAATCGGAATACTCCTTTGAAATGAGAATGTAGAGACTTTTTCTCATGTATTTTGGACACATCATTGGGAGGAACTAGTCCCTGGAGAGGGATATCATGCTTGGTAAAGTAGAAGATAAGCAGAAAAGAAGTGGAGCCTCAGGGAGATGGATTGACCTAGTGGGTGTCACAACAGGCTCAAATGAAGTAGCTCTTTTGGCTTTCATTTCAGTAGAGGAGTTTAACAGGATTCAGCGGTAAAACAATTTGTTCTAAGACATACCGTTTGTTTGGACAGAACTACAAAGAGCTGGATTTTCAAGTGTGTTAGGTGTTACAGACCCAATTGCCTGGTGTCAAAGCAGAGGAGAAACCGAGCCTGATCAGCTCAGGGCACTGAGCTCTTTCAAAGGGGATGGTTCTTCAAGGGAGACAATGGGAAGAGCACGAGTGTCAAAGACAATCGAGGTAATGTACGATACTGCAATAACTGTGATCCCTGAGCAGGTGTGGGAGTGAGAATGGGAATGTACCAACACATATATATAGGTTAAACAGAGAATGTCTATACATGAGCATTTATCTTTGCTGTAAATATATCCAGAAATGTGGCTGAGCATACAAGGGGGTTCCCCCCGCTAACACCTTCCCCCCCAAAATAAAACATGGAAAAAAGCTCCCACTGGGCAGAGCTTTCATAGAACACGTTTTCCCCACTAGGCGAGAATCTAGCACCTCACTTTGAGTTAGCGCCCTCAGGGACATTGCCTGGAAACGTTCTCTCTGTTCATAGTGAATAAGAGATAAAGTTATAAAAATGTCTGAGACATAAACAAACTCCTCGAGGGAATGAGTCACTGGGCACATAACTCAAGACCATAGACTAAAGGGACACCAGTAAATTGACATAACATAGTCACAAAGCCAAAGTCCTACATCCTAATTTATGAGTCGAAAGTGGGGCCTTAAAAGCTCACACACATTTAAAATGCAATTATTGGTTTCTGCCTGCCTAAAGGAAAGAAGAGTGAGGAAAATCAAAGACACAAGAAAATAATTGCCCCAATGAGCTAATGGACCATGTGAAAATCAATATACAATCCCAAGAAGATAGTGCCCAGTGGATTGTACCCAACCATGACTGAAAGAGATCATATTAGAAGAGCCTGGATTGACTGGGAGAAAAATGTGGACCAAACCCCCGAATCATAAGAACCCAGGTTTAATGGTAGGATGGAGACTGGCGGCACTAACAAATATGGCCCTTGGTCACCCTTCAGTTCTGAAACTGAACTCACCCCCATGGCTCAATTATCAAGCACACAACAGACAAGTCTATAAGTGTAACAATAACATTACTGTGAGGCCTGGACAACTTAGAATAACCACATTCTTGAGATTTAAAGAGCGGTATTAACCTAAAGACAAAGGTTAGAAGTGTTAAGAAACAAGGAAGAGTGAAACAGAAAACACAGGAAGGGAAGTAAGTGATGTTACATTGCAAGGATTACAGTGAATGAGGTTAAACAAAATGTGTATCAATTTCTGAATAAAACTTAACATCTTCTATGTAAATCATCATCTAGTTTATAACCAAAAAAATCAAAGATGCACTGACCACTTAGCACTATGATATATAAGCAAAGACTATTATTAAATTAGAAATATTTAATAAACATACTGATAGTGATTTATTGTCACTGATACCTCCAGGTACCTCAAGGCCTTGATATAAATGAAGTATACATTAAAACTGGTGACATGAAACGCCATCTACCAGTACCTAAAAGCCTTCTACACAGATATATTATTCCATAGAAAGTAGGGATCATTTTCAAGATACAAATACTAATAAAAATCTTATCCTACTTGCATCTTCTGGAATGTTGAACTTTTCCTTGTCCTCATCCAAGAGGTCATTAACTCTGGGTAAATCAATAAATGTGTTCGAGCTGCTTAGGAATGACTCTTTCTCTTTGCAGACCGTCTTCATCACAGACTGAAAAGAACCAAAGGCTGAAGATCTGTCCTGGTCTTGGGCCGACACCTGAGAATATAAGGGGTGGGGGGAGGCAAGGAATACATCGTGACAATATAATTCCTTCGCCCACTTCTTCATTTGACCAAGTACATAGGCTGTGCAGTCAATTCCTGCTTTAGTCTGTTCTATCCGTGGGATACTATTCAAATAGGCTCAAGGACCTTCCTGATTAATGTATCTGCTAGAAGAGAAAAACGTCACAGGAACCCAGGCTTGGGCACACATACATGGCCAGCAATAACCTGTTAATGTAGAACTCATCATGAATTGACTCATTAATGTGTGCCTATACTGTAACATCACTTACGCATATGAAAACTATTCAAGTTATGCACCAGATGATAAATATGCTGACGCACTGCCTCTAAGGCAGCTCAAGGCCTCTGTGGTTTAGCTCCTTGTCTTAGGCCTCTACCTTGAGATGGCCTCATCGGCCTATTTCCCCAGCAGTTCCAGCCCAGACCAATTTGATTTCAAGCAAAAACTAGTGTCATCCTGCTTACCTTACCAAAAGGTGTACGTCTTATTATGAGTCCATGATCTCAAATGTATAAGATGATTTTTATAAATTATATGTTAAGAAATATAATATTTTGAAAAGAATTTAATCCAAGAAGTAAGCTAAGCAAGCCCGTGAAATCTCATTTATATTAAAATTGATTTGGTAATTTCGCACTTCATAGACAATGCATGAACTATTATCCAGTTAATTAGGTCTTTTTTTTTTTTCTGTAGCACAGGACAAATTTTAAGAGAAAAATAAAAGCAAAAAAGAGCAAATAAAAGGTATATTGAGTATTTTGACAAGGGCCAAGATCAAGCACAAACCTGTTGAAAGGAAGACATATCTAGCAAGGTCGCAATTTTTAATTCTTGAAGAAATTCCGGGAGGTGTGCAAGGACATGCTGGGCTTTCACGAGGAGCGAGCTGAGGCTGGAAACTACGTCCAACAGGGAATTGAGCACATTATTTGCTTCAGGAGGAACCAAAGTCTTAAAGGGCAAAAAATAAAACAAAATAAACAACACTATTTTTACACTAACAAGCATCTTCTGAGCATGAAAACATGATCATTTGGTTTTGTTTTCTTGAACTTCAGACACAGCCATGTGTTAATGTATAAAAATCTGCTTTAGCAGAGTATATGTAGCTCAGAGATACTGAATATTCTAAAATGTGTCATGTTTGTTAAAATGTGAACCAAGAATCAATGTATCTATTGAAATTCAAATGTTTTTCAACATCTTTCTTTATACATTTGAGGTGAGTGAAGTGCACATTTGAGAACAATGCAAAATAAAGCAGTTTTTATAAACAAGACAACTTACATTTACCCAGGGCTTCACTACATTCACACGTTTAATTATTTCAATTATCCTAATACCTTTAGGATATGCACAATGCCCATTTTTATGGATGAGACAAGCTGAAGGGCTTCCCCAAAGTCTTTCCATTAGAAAGTGACCTGTCCCGCGGGTCATCAAACAACGTGGATACCTGAAAAAGGGACTGGGAATGAAGAGGGGCAAGAGACGCGAGAAATGGAGGCAAGACAGGAGTCTGATCAAGCCTCGTTTATTGAGCAGAAGGCAGGGGCTTAAATACCCAATGGTGGCGGGTAACATTACATCATATGCTAATAAAGTGTACCAGGTAGTATCCAATAATCATTCAGCTACAATATGGAAGAAATGGCAGGCATCAGTCCTCAAACAGGTCCACATGCAAATGAGGTGCACTTGGACGGTCCACATGCAAATGAGGTGCACTTGGATGCCTGGCGGAGGTGTCCAATGAGCATGGCGGCTGCCTGCCACCGAGCACCAATCATCACAAAGGCCAAACTCAGGCAGGACAATAGGCCAGGGAACATCCGGGAATGGGAAGCTTAAAGACAGCGGACGGAGCAGGCCATGGGCTGAGGGACGTGCAGACTCCCACATGTGCAGACTCCCACATGTCCCGCTTTTCTGTATAATAGCGAGCACAAAGTATTCGTGCAATGAAGTTTGGAATATCCTTTAGGGGACTGCATCTGTCTTAGGTCGTCAGGGCACTGATTCATCCTTACCCGTCATGGGTCTCGAGGAATGCCTTTAACTACATTCTGGCAAACCAGGGCCTGTCTTAGGTTGGTATGAACAGTGCCTGATCTTACCCGTCATTGACTGTCCAGCCCAGCACACAAAGGAAGGGGGTCTTATCACTCAGGCGAGTTAGGGAGTGGGCCACCCTTGTCTAACATTTCCAAACGATGGTAATGCACTTGAATAGGCTTCGCTAGAACAGCTTCAATTTGCTGTTTTAAAAATGCCATGAGTTTGTTAAATATCACAGGCCCTAATGAAATGAGTAATAGTAATTTATGGGAGGGCCCAATCCACTATCTTAAAGTCTGTATGATTTAACAATATCTTAGGCCGTTTTCCTCCACAACAAGTTTATACCAATTTTTGCATTTCAGGATCTACATTAGGGAGTGGGCAAATAGTTAACAAGGTAGAAGCAGTCTCAGAAATATTACCGACCTTCCCCCCAAAGCCTCTTACAGAAATAAGAACCGTAGTTGCTGCAAAAGAAGAATGATTATACTTCACTTCCCAAACCTCATGTGAATAAGATAAACAATGAGTACCCTATCTTGGGAAAATAGGGAATCCCCTCACCCCCAAGCTATAATTATTAATATTCCTGTCTTCTTCTTCAGCAAAAGGAAAAGGGAACATTTTTAAAACTCTTGCAGAAACTTTTGAGTGTGGGACTTCTTAGCCATCTCTCCATTTCAGAAGTCGCATTGACAACCACTCAGCTGCGGAATCTGTGGAGATAAGAGCAAACCCTCGACCCCATTGTAAAATCTCTCCTTCTAGGGCTCTATAAACTATTGGTTCTGGAGGAGAGCACTTTCTTTTAGGCTTAGGAAAAGGAGATAGGGTTGCAGAGTCCTCCAGCGCCTGTCACTGATTTTAGCAGACAGAGCACTTTCCACCAATCATAGCACCAGCTGTAACCTCTGCAAACAACTCAGCTTGTTATGCAGTTCCGTGGATCCCTGCAAGAAAGGTCCAGAGATGTGCACTTAAGCTGGGCATTTAAAAAACCCGTGCCTGAAGTTGGCATCATTATCAGATGACTCAGAACATCCCTCTTCCAATGAAGAACAAAAAAAAGCAAATCACATAAAGGTGATAGCTTTGAACCCTAAACATCCAAGGCCAGCTGCAAAATCAAGTTGGATGTGAATTGGAAATGGAGCCTGTACAACTGTGTCAGACAAGGGGAACTACAGATGGTCAGCGCCCTGTACAGGATCGTACTGAGATAAAGCAAGCAGCGTTCCCAGCTGAGCCTCCGACTCCTAGTGTAGCCAAGTCGGAACCACTGTGCACTCACGTGTGGAGCCAGGCAGGAATGCATCCAGCTCTGCAAGATTAAATACACTCCCCAGACCCATTACACCCTTAACTTCCCCATGAGGCAGAAGCTCATGAACCTACAGTGCTCCCCTAAACCCCCCATCTACTCCCTGCTCTTCAGTCCCCCAGCCCAGGCACACAATTGTGGTTCTGTGGCATCGATACCAACTTGCCTCCCAGCATGTGGGGTCCACTGATTCGCACCCGCTCCTTTGCTCAGTCACTGACAATAGGAACTTGCAGAAGCTGTGCTGGGGACAAGAGGGTAGAGGCACCTGTATTCTACCCACCTAACTTCTCTAATGGCCATGATCTGGAGCCATATGAGATACACTGTGGGTCCATGGATAGTGGAGCCCAATCATCTGCCCACCCATTGGCCCATTGAGTAGCAGGGGCAGTTGTTAAGCCTAGTCACCCATATAAGAAGTCATGGTTTGGAGGTATCAACTCCTCTGTCTGACTGCTAGATCCAGAGTCCACTAATTGGTGGCACTCAGCTAACTTTGTTGGAGTGCCTGAGGACGAACAGACCTCACCCCTATGCTCATTTAGGTCCAAATACCAATGGTGCCCACTGCTCAGCCCAACCAGTGGCACCAATAGCTCACAAACCAGAGGCCTCATTGGTACACCTAGTTACCTTCACTGGGGACCCACAGAAGAATGGTGCCTGCTACTCCAACTGGGTACTCAAGGTCTCCTGACACACCCTCCCCTAGCAGACAGGGGCATGCCTTCCTAGAAGACACCCATGGACAAAAGGCATCCAACCTGCGTCATGCTCTGCACTCCCCCTACCAAATAGAAGCTCGTGTTGTCACCACTAACCACCTCACAAGCCGAGGCCACCAAGAACCATTGATGAGAGTATCCATACCACTTATCTCGTGACGAGCTACTGAGGCATTCTCATGGTAACTACCTGTCAACTGGCAGTGCATACATACAACACCCAACCCAATGCTGCCTGCACACTACTCCAGACGACTCACTGAACAGATTCATCACTTCTCCATCAAATTCAGCTATGTCTTCAGCCACCCTAAAACACAAGCAAATAAGTACGCATGCTCACATGCTCAGTCACTTCCCAACTCACTCAAGGAGAGGTGAGGAGCACCCCTGAGTAGCCAGACACATTATCAAAGTAACACTCACATCACATGTGTACTCAGATATATGAAAACAAAACAAAATTAACATGCAACAAGTAACCATATAATAAACAAGCAAACGTAATAACACAAATGTCTCATAGATAACAGACAATAATAACAAATCATGTAAAGAAGAAAGACAAAATGGCGCTGTCCAGGATTGGATGTAGCATCCATCTGAGACCCCCCTCAACTTATACAGCTTGTATGTGACCAAATCAAAGAGCCAAAAAACCTAGTATAATTAGAAATAATAATTGAACTATCTGATAAGGAATTTAAAATATTAGCATATAGGATCATTCACATGAACAAGAAGGAAAATATACACAAAACAATAGAATAATTCAGAAAACAGCATCATAAGAGTAAAGTGACCAAAACTGTTGATAATTACAAACCATATAAAAACAGTAGCTAGAAATCTAAAAGATTAAAAATAACTAGATGACCCTATAAAAGAGCCTAGGAGCAGAATCAAAACCATGAAAGACAAAGTTAGTGAAGTACAGGGCAAATCCTTTGAAACAGATTTACTGGGGGAAATTCAGGGGGAAAGCATGTTGAAAATGAAAAATTGTGTGCAACAATATCAATAAGAATAAGTTACATGTAATTGAAGTTCCACAACCATAGGAGGCAAAAGACTTAAAAAGAGAATTGGTGCCAATATGCTGCCAGAAAACTTTCCTAAAGAAAGATGGAATAATATCCACTCTAAAGTTTTATGTAGGGTAGATACTATAAGAACATCACCAAAATATATCCTTATCAAATTCACAAAAACCAAAGATTTTTAAAGAATCTTAAAAACTCGGGAAAAATTAAAAATCATCTACAAAATGAAACCAGTAAGACTAAGCTCTTTTTACTCAGCAGAAACGGTACAAACAAAAAACCAATTGACAGACATAAAACCTTGAAAAAACTGCCAAGACGTATATCCAGTAAAATTGTTGCCCAAACACAATGATGAAATTTGTACATTTCAGGTAAACAGAAACTAAGAGAATTTGTTTTTAAAAGTTCAACCTTAAAAGTAATATTAGAGAGTCCTTCCTACAGAGAAGCAACAGCACCGACAGCCTTCATTAACACAAAGGACACCATAGCCACACACAGGAGAGACAGCCAGATAAAAATAAAAACTCTCAAAATTAATCCGAGAAGTTAAATGACTGAGACCAGAAAACCAGATGGGTCAATCTGTAAATAACGACAACATCAAAACAGTAAGGGGGTGGAGAATGGATGGTGTGGTTATACAACTTTTACATGGAGAGGAAGTCTAGAATAATGTTTTAAACATAAGAAGATAAAGATACATTTCAAGGTAATCACAAAGAAAATTAACAAACCTATTTATCAAAATTTTGGAAGAAGAAAAATGTGAAGAGTAAGTGAACACAAATGAAT